CCGGAGAGATGCTTTGTTCCATGTACTGCTCAAAGGAGGATCTCTCTTCTGATTATGGAGTTTATATTTTAAGCTCAGGACAGATTCTCTTTGGAGTTTTTAAGACATACAATTAACAGTAACTACTGATAGAATGAACATGTAGCCTCCCAAGCTTTGCATGTTGCAGTCCAGTCAAAATAGATTTGTACTCATAGACACTTAAATGACGATAACAGTTTCCTTGATACCTTGTGCTTCCTCTTGTTTTATCTAGCAGTTGTGCTTTGACTTATATTTAGGCACTGAACTTCTCTGGAACCTCTTTGGTGTGCATGCACAGGGGAAGGGATCTCTCCAGAAGCTGTAACAGTTAAAAAAAAGAGAAAAAGAAATCCACAACTTTAATCTCATGCACTTATTAGACTTGAGTATAAATTGCATCAGAAGGAGTATTTTGAATAGTTTGTTCTCTGAATGCAGTGAAATCCAGAATTGTTCATTTTAGAATGAAATTAATTTGTAGTTCCTCTTGTTGTAAGAGTAACTAAAATTTGCAGGTGTATTGATTTCATTGACAAGGGAATAGATCAATAAGGAATATAAGGCTAATGTTGTATAGTATTTTCTAGCTGTATGGCAATGATCTATTCTATTTATCCTGGAATATTCTGGGTCTAGCATAAGCTTTTTGTTTTTTCATCTGTCATATATGTAAAAATGGAAAATTTACATTTCTATGTAAGGATAATAACCTCAAATATGGAATAAGGAGTAATTAGTAGATCTATTTACTACCATTTGTTCAATACCACATTTTGTGGTATATCTGTGAATGTGGTATATGTTTGCACACTTGTATTAGAAAAGACAGTTACACGTAATGATTTTTTTTAATATTATAAGGTGTATTTTTCAGACAGCTATAGAAGATTGGGAGTGTAAGTTGCATACTTCCTTCTTTATCTGTTTACTTTTCTCAGAAGCCTTGTCATCTTAAAACCAGCTGTCTTTTGCTTCCTCTTCACACAGACATTGAGGTGAGGTTGTCCCCAGTCATCCTGGAATGTGGTTCCAAAGGGCTGTCTTAAATCTCTGGGTGTGAGTCTTACCTGTATAAAGATAGTAGGGTTTAATGCAAGTTCTGGTCCATTTTGGTAAGGAGGAAATTCTTCAGAGTTTGACTTCAGGACCAGTAATTTTCTTCCATTCCAAAAAGGTCTTTTCTCCTTTTACGTATAACCAGTGGTTTTATCCAATTATGAATCATAAAACCAAGCAAAATTACAGATTGTCTGAAAAACTCAGATGCAATGTAGACAGTACTAGATTTAAAGTCGTGTAAATCTTCACTTTCTGCAAGCCAGATGGATTTTCATTTTTTTCTGGTCAATAGTGACTAACTTGTTTACATTTCTTTACCTTCCGTTCTGTCTAGATGTATCAGATCAGCGTACTGAGTCTAGGAGTCAGGTCTAGGAGCAGAGTCAACATTTAGATTAGGCTTCAGATGATTTGGTCCTAGTAAGTCTTTAGTCTTTTTCAATACCCTTTTCTCCTTTAAACTTGAGTAACATGAATCCAAAGCAAATGTATCACCTTGAGTGAAGCATTGAGTATTACAAAATTTTGCTTTTTTTTTTTTTTAATATTCCTAAATTTTAAAATCTATGCTTAAAAATATTGCTTTGGACTCTTAAGCTAATCAACCTTTTGACAGCATTCCTTGTAAAGATTTAAGCTTTTCCTAGCAAATATTTAACAGCTGGGACAAGCCCTTCCTCGGGACATTAATTTTGCCGTTCGTTGTGTAGTCTGTTTGGCTGGATCTGTAACACATTTCCGATTGTCTAAATAAAAAGAGATAAAATGGGAAGGGGCTGCCAAACTCCACTGTGTAACAAGTAAAACAAGTCAAAGGGAAAATGTTAATAATTTTTCTCCTTCCTTTTGCATTGATGTCTATGTTTTGTCCTTAGCCAGAAGACACTAACATCATTTCCTCTCTCTAAATTAGCTTGCAAGTGATACAAAAATGTAATATGACAGCCTTCATAGCTTTCTTACCAAATGATTTTGTTCTTAACATCGAGAAATTTAAGAATCCTGATTTAATTCTAGAACTGTTAAAACACCACTTTCTGGTATATTTCTGGTACATCAGGAAGTCTTTTCTAATTTTTTTTTTTAACAAAATGACAGTACTAGTGTTTATGATGGAAATTTAGAATTGCTTACAACAACAAATGTTTTCAAAGTGATGATACTAGATTTTTTTTGAGATAGCATACTATTTTCCTTTCTCTTAAAACATCAGTTCCTGTTTGAACTAGAGGACTAGTTGCCTTGTGGATTTTTATACAATCAGCCTCCCTCAAAAATACTTCACAAAACTAACTCACTCAAGTATCTGTGAACTGGGTTAAGTCTCGGTTGGGTTGCACTGTGTTGTCCTGAGGCGTTACAAGTTTTTTAGCGTGACAATTGCAAGCTGAACAGGCGCCTAGCTGCATCCTAGGGCAGCTGGGATGGTCACAAACAAGCACCAGAGCACCAGTATTAGGGAAGGTCCTTCTGGCTTTCCAGCAGGAGAGGAAGATTATCAAAAAGATATATGAGCCTAGTATCTCTCACTGACTGTTTTCAAATGAAAAGATATGGAATTTCGCTGTTTACTGCTTATATGTTAATACACGCTGTTGTTAGCCTTTGGCCATGCCTTAAAGTTTTTAAGTCAAAAAGTGATATCCAATAGTAAAATTTCCTTTCTAGGGTAACTATCCTGGTTAGAGTTGTAGATGGTACATAACACAGATAGTTGTCCAGGCAGGATCTTAATATTAGAATTGTTTAGGGTAATCTGATAACTTTGTGACTTTACAAAACAAGCGGAGATTTCCTGGACATTCTTTGAATATCTTCTATTAAGCAGTTGACCTTGATTGTTAAGGGAAGCGTCACTGTTCAACAGAAGCCATGTTATACTGGGACACCAGGCAAATGCCTTGTGCAATCATGGGGCAGTGATTTGTTGATGTGTCAGCACTGCATTTCCAAGGTACAATTATGCCTTGTTTCATCATACTCCATTTTCCTTTAATGTGACTAGTCTGCATACTGTATTCCTGCTGCAGTACCGCTGCAGAGTAGGCTCGGCATCTTTGGGGAACTGGTCAAGTATGTCTCTGGGATTTGCTGGCTGTCAGCACCTGAAGTAGCTGATTTGATGATACATCAAGTCTGAAGCAGTCTAAATTTAACAATGGAAGATCTTGCACTGCTGGTAGTGTCACCACAGACCATTAAGCTCATTTCAGCACAAGTGGGAGCAGGGAAATATATGGGTCATTTGTTCACAGTAAACTCCATATTTAGCAGCAAGCTGCATTTTGGTTTATTAGCTTAAAGTGAGATCAGGTGTATCTCTGTGAACTGCAATGTCAACCCGCTGGCTCACAAGCCTATACCTGCTGTGCTTGAGTTCTTTATTAAAATTCAGATACAGTTACTGTCTTCGAGTGCATCTATAAAATGGTAGTGATTCCTTGTCTTATAGGAGAGCAGTGTCAAGGAACTGAGAAACTGAGGGAATAGAAATGAGGTAATACTGACAGAAACTATATAGATCCCTGAAGCTATATAGCAATACAGAGTAATGTATTTTTCCCCCTTCATTTGAGTGAGACATTTTAATGAGCAGGTGTTCCTGCTTCAAATGCCTACCAAGTTAATGTGATGAGACAAAGGCAGGGATTTTCTGGTGAGCAGCTCATCTGTGCCTGAATGTGTCCTAAATTAGATTTAAAGATCTGTTAGTGACAAAGAGGAGACTAATGACCACATTCTTATAACTGTCTCATTAAAAATCTGAAAAGCTGTTGGATAGATTTGTTGCAGAACAAGATAGCAGACACAGCTGATGAACTTAAAAATACCTGGTCTTCCCAGAGTGTGACAATCCCAGAACATTGGAGATTTTGTTTTGGAGACCAGACTCTTTTATTTGGCTTTAAATCCACAATTTAGAGTGAGACTATAACAGGTTTAACCAAGAATCAACTTTCCAATAACATTCTTGTCAGCTGCACATGCAGAACCCTGTCTATTAAAAATCATCCTCTTTGATTTTTATGTTGTATTTTAAACTCCAAGTATTACATTAAATTTTCTTACACACATGTAATCATGCAGAACACATACCTGAAAATATCTTGGTATGCACTTTGCAAATTATCTCATAGTAAAAAGGTCCTCTCTGGAAGGGGGACATCTGGAGAGTGGGACATCTAAAGTAAAACTGGTAGTTTTTGGCTACTGATTTTCAGTAAGTCATTTACAGCAATGTTGAGTCTTCACTGAACTTGTGCTCCTGGGAATGAGATGGGAATGAGTTAGAATGGCAAAAAGAGTTTGAAATGAATGAAAAATGAGTTTGAAAACTTAGAGGCTGCATGCTCAATTCCATTTAGTCGCATGTTTTGTGACATGCGGAGACATGGGGCAGTCGGAGATTAAACACACTTTCTCCCAATTTGCATGTGTAGTGATTCCATTTAATCATTCAATCATTGTAAGAAAAGAAGAAAGTGTGAAGAAAAAAAATCATCCTGTCATAGAGGAGTGTGAGGATATGAAAGTGAAAAAGGGAAAAAAAATATCTGCTGAGGAATAGAGGACTATGTGTGTTCTTTGTTCAGTAAATTAGGTGTATGTCAGGCTTTGGTCAAAAGCCCAAAAGAGGGATGTGTAGGTGGCATATTGGACCTCTTCTTAAGTAGTGGCACTGTCAAACTTTTGTATTCATTGATGTCTGGTGCTTACCTAGGTAAGGACTGCCGAGCAAATGAACTTTTTAGCCAGCTGTAGACATTTGTTTTCTTCGGGCCTTCCACAGCTTCATCTCTTCTGTCTGTGTGCTGCTACTACCAACACCTCTTAACTTGATGCCCTCGCATCTCTGGTACAAGGTGCTGTGCTGTGCTGACTGACCAGGTCCTCTTTTCTCTCTTCTCCTCCTCCAGTTCCGCCTCGTAGTAAAGACGGCGCTGAAGCTGCTGCTGGTGTTTGTGGAGTACACTGAATCCAACGCGCCCCTGCTAATCCAAGCAGTGTCTACGGTGGATGAGAAGAGAGGTGAGTGGCCTTATTTGGAGGGGGGATGTGAAGTTTCAGCACCTCTGAGGTCAGGGAAGAGTTTAGTCATTGATTCCAGTGACGCAAGTGTTACTGTCATGATACCTGTTTTGTGTCTCATAGCCGTGATTTCTTAATTAAAAGCTTGTTTTAAGTATTCATGTAAGTTAAGATACTTCCGAGAATTAGCTCTAGTGGGATAATGAAGAATGAAAACTTGAACAGACTCAGGTGCATCGCTCTCTACCATAGTGACTGTCTCTGCTTTCCTGAACCCCCAAGCACCCTATTTCCACTTTGGAGGCTCTCATGGGCTAGACTATCTTTCCTTGCCTTCTGGAAAGCAGCAGTCTGACTTAGAAGAGAAAATGATATCTAATCAGTGTAATCCCTTTGAAGAGAAAGACGAGGTCAGTAATAGTACAGGCTTTATAGTAAAAACAAAACCATCTGTTGTTACATTAAAATAAAGCCCTTGAGCAGATATTCTGCTGTGAAATCTGTTACCCTGCAGGCTCATGCAAAACAGTTGAATATGTATACTATGTTTTTTTACAAATAAATAGAAGAAGAATGACCCTTTCTTGTTCTTTCCGCAAAGCTTCTGCTAAGCTCCTGGGGCACTTTCTCCTGATGTGAACCATTCCTCAAGGAGGGGTTTTGAGGTTGCAAGAGTCACTGTTGTGGTCTCCAGTGCAGGGGGATTAAAAGCAAGATCCCCTCTGCAGAGTAATGGCCTCCATGCTGAATTTGTTTGGGTGAAAGGTGGTGCCAGGAATTAGGAGGAAGTGGCCAGATTTTGTTCTCCACTACCAGAAAGAAAAAAAAAAATAAAGGTCTCTTATACAGGGCAGCAGACAAGGAATTCAAAAATAGTATAACACTTCAGAATGGTAGATTCCTCAGGTTGGCTTTCTGTTTTGAATTAAAACCCTTTAGCCTTGCAATGCCATAAGCAGAAATGTAGTTACAATTTTCATGCAATTGTGAGTTCAATAATTTATTTTTACAGCCAGTCTTTAGTTTTTCCACAGCCCTCTGAACTTGCCTTGTATTTTCAACTTGTTCAAATTACCATCTGTTTGCATGCTACTAAACCTCATTAAGAAAAAGAAGAGAAAGTAGGACCCGAAACACACAACCATGGGCACTGTACCTTCTGTCCTGTAGCTGCAGAACAGCCTCAAGCAGACATTACAGTGCCCTAAAATAATAAAACAACTTTCTATTAACAAAGAAAATGTGGGGAAAAAGTGATTCTTCAAGCTGGATAGGTGATTCCTAAGAGTAAGAAGGGAAAGCTTCCCATACCTTTGAGTTGGCAGTGTCTCATGAGCTCTCCCAAATAAGTTATCCCCAAATACCCATTTTTTTTATAAGCAATTATGCTTAGCTACCAAAGAGATTCATTTTTTTCTTGTTCCATATTTAGTTCTTTTTGTAGGCCATCAGCAGAACACCCCTTTTTAGCTGTGAAAGTGCTGTTTCTGTAAATTCCATTTAGAAATTAGTGGCTTATAATTGAGGAGTACCTGCCCTCCTTAATGACTGATTTAATGTAATAGAAATAAAGAGGAAGAAAAGTGATGTGCCTTTTCTTGAAATGCGGTCATAAATCTCCCATGTATATAATTAAGTTTAGCGCTGCTTTGAAAAAAGTCCAATATTTCATGTACATACAAGGTGATGAGATATGACATAATTCCTCAACATGTGTACCACACATGATTAACATAAAGATCCTCCTAATAACTCAGCCCAGTTTCAAAGTGATCCCATCTGTCGTTTCCATGAAAGACCACATCCATATGTAAACCAAAGTACAAAGATCTGTGGAAGTGCCTGCTCTGCTCTCCGATACAAGCAGCTCATAAGAAAATAACTGCATGGTCCTCATTAAATAAGAAGTTGCTTTCCCCAACCTCTCTCTGTTTTTTTCTTGTTGCACAGCTGCAGAGGAACTTGATGTCTTTTTGGTGGAAGTGCACAGGAACAGTACTTGGGATCTGGGCAGCAGGATTAACTTTCCACCAGGTCCCCTAGGGCTGTTTTATCGCAAGCATTTTTGAATACCAAGATGAAACGCCTGCGACTGAGTTTATGGATGACATTTCTGCCGCCAGTAGTAGCTGTACTGTTTGTAAAGGGCCTGCCTTACCAGTTGTCCCCTTCTCCTTCCTCTTACCATCTGATTAGATTGCCAGACTGATCCTATAGGCGTGGTGCAAGGCTTTATGTTCACACAGGTTTAAATAGCCAGGAATACAACATTCATACATCTTTCCAAAACTGAATATTAATGTCTCAGCATCCTATGAAGGCTAGAGACAGGTGCTCTATGTGTTAATGAGTACAAACAGAGCCAATTTCTCTTTCCATCGGTCCTCACATCTGGTTGTAGTCTGGTCCTAGCTTTTCCGTGTTTAGGGCTCCATGTTTTTCATGTTCAGGGCTCCAGGCTTCCTATCAAAGTACTTGGGATAGTAGTTAACAGTGAGAAGTCTGTGAAACAGAGTTGAGCAATTCTCCCTTTTTCCTGTAGAAGGCAGGAGAACATGCAGCTTCATGCTTTCCTGCAGTGAAGCATTTCAACACTTGTGATTTTTACCTGTACTCCTGCATGGGAGTCATAACCTTATGAGAAAATCACAGTCTGCTGTCAGGAAAAAGAGGCAGACTTGCACACTGGCAGGCTCTCACCACGTGGACAGGAGGGGACGATGAGCTGGAGGCTGAGCTTTCTGAGGACCAGCATGCATAGGTTTAATTACACTTAATTTTTAGAAACAGACTTTATACCATAGGAACATTAACTAGACTTGTGTTTATACTGGAAATACATGTGAATTTTAAAAATTCAGATTTACGTTCATGGTTTTCAAAATTTGTAATATTCTGACTGTTACAAGGGTAACGGCAGGCTGGAGCTTTTAAAAAGCTCTAGGTTACAGTTTCCTCAGAGGTTTGAAACCCAACCTTAACCATCTTTTTCATATTTTCCACAATACAAATATCTTTTTTGAAGGAAGAGAGGAAAAATACATCATATTTTTCATATCTCTTATATGAACATCCTTATTTCCCTACAACAACTTAAGAGCCTAGAAAAGTTCTACTTATTTAATAAAAAATACTTAGTTCCTACTAACTTTTTAGTATAGTATTTTCCAGGATATCTTTTGCAAAGATTTCATACGCAGCCTGAAAGGAGCTTTTTAATCGTGACATCCTCTTGCATAAGAAGTGCTGCATTGGAAATTAGCTTTTACAGGTAAATTCCAGCATGCAGTCCCACCTTTAAGTTGTAATTCTGCAGGAACAGATGTATTTGGAAAAATAAGCCTCAGAGCAGAGCAGATATCTGATCTAGATTTGCCCATGCTCCATACTGTCCAGGCTACAGATTGGAAACTATAGGTTCTCATTAGCGTAAGAAGCAAGGAATACTAACCCAGGCATACTAATAGGGCACCTTCTAGACGAAATTGCCTCATCTCCAGGATCAGCAGACAGACTGATGCCTAATTTCATGCTCATTCCTTGGCTACTTGGCTTGAAATCACAATAAGGAAAGCAGCATTTCCAAAGAAAGTCTTCATCCACTACAAATTGGAGTAGCTGCATAAAAGTTATTATATTGTTTCCTACTGACAACAGCTGAGGAATGGATGGAGAATTTCAGATATAAGGATGTTCTTTTGGAAGTCACACAGCATCACAGAATGGTTAAGGTTGGAAGGGACCTCTAGAGATCATCTAGTCCAACTCCCCTGCTCCAGCAGGGACACCCAGAGCACATGGCAAAGGGCGGCATCCAGGTGGGTCTGGAAGACCTCCAGAGAAGGAGACTCCACAACCTCCCTGGGCAGCCTGTGCTGGGGCTCTGTCACCCTCACAGTGAAGAAGTTCTTCCTCACATGCAGACGCAACTTCCTGCAGTTCAACTTGTACCCTTTGCCCCTTCTTATCACTGGCAATGACCTATGGCAAGTAGCAGTAGCCTAATTAAAGCTTTTGAAAGGTGAATGGGCTGTTATGGGGCTGTGTCACTAGTAAGTTTGCCTAATAAACAATTAATTTATAATATGTTCTGAAACAGAGAAGTAGCATGGGCAGAGCAAATTATTTGTCATCATTGCATGCAAAGAGCAAGGAGACTCCAGTAATGGGGAAATACAGAGACATTTAGAAAAAAGAATCAGAGCATCAGAATACTGTCTTTAAAAAACAAAACAAGATGCCAGTAAGAATAAAAACTGTCTGCAAAATAAAGGCATACTTCCCTAGAAGGACTTTCACTGAGTAATGCAGTGTGGATTCAGTAATTAATTTTTCATGTTATTGGCAACATTTTCAAATGGCATTGTTATAGGTCAGGCTCACATAGTTTCCCCATTTTTTTTCTCCTTATTTTCTTCCATTTTTATTTTTCTCTAGAAACCACAGGAAGACATTTTTGTAGTGAGGATATCATTCTTGCTGATCATATATCATTTGCGAGTTCAGTGAATTTGTTCCACATGTCTTTTGAACATGTGCTGCACAAAATGTCTGGTAATATAGAGAATCTGGTGAAGAGATGCTGAGTGTGTTCTTTGCACAACAAATGTGCTTCAATTAGTGTTTGATCACGAGTAAGTTTTGGGGTGTGAGAATGAATCCTCCCTGCTTTGATTTGATTTTGCTTGAGGTAAGGAATCTTTTTCAGTATTAACAATGAAAATTCAGTATTAATATTTTTCAGCAATAAAGATCAGAAAATATCTCAATCAAAAAGGGAGGAAAAGAAAATAACAAGGAGAAATATTACTGTGTGCTCATTAGTAGGAGGACACTTTTCGCACAGCGCACTGCCAGCACTTGGAAAATTGAGATCTTCAGTTATGAGGGATTTGATGTCTGTAAAGCAGGATGTGTATGCATGCATGCACACTTGCACAGTATTAGCATGAATAAGCAATGGCTGTCATTATAGCAATCGTGACCTCAGGGTCACTGATCAGTCAGCTATAGGTTGTTGTGATGACACATTCACATTTTACTGCCTGTTTATTCTCCAAGAGCTCCCATTTTCATGATGTTGAAGACTCAAGCCTGTTAAAAGAGTATGCATTTTTCTCTCAGGAAACTTTTGTATTGTTTTGAATACGAACTGTTTCTGCAAAGTATTTCTATCATTAAGTTGAGTAGCTTTAAGTTAGGTTTAGCTTTCTGATTTGTTTTGTTCTGACCTTTACTCCAAAAAAAAAAAAAAAAAAAAAAAAAAAACCACTAAATTACAGACTTTAATAATTTAATTTTCTAAAATAAAGTATTTATGGGTTTTTCTTTAGCACATGTACCCATTTGCCTTTTAACCAAATAAAAGAGGATGTTTTTACAGGGTACCTTACACACAAGACATTATCCTGACTATGACTGGCATTTTCCTGTGAACGTTTTTAAGTACAGTAAGTCAACTAAGCCACTTTGCTGTTGGCATCAGGTCATCTAAAGTACATGGAGTAAAAATGTACATGTACTCCAGTACATGAAGTAAAAATTATTTCATCTGATTTTAGAAGTCCACCAAAACGAGTTAACAGAGCTTCCTGCATCATCAAGGCAGAGAAATTGGTACTTTCAGGAAAAGTCCTTCCAACATATTTCAGATCTCAGTTTTAGGATGCCTCAGAATGCTTTCACTGACCATAGTGACTTAAATCTCCATTAATTATAGAGGAAGGTAGAGATAATTATCTTTTCATGCCTTGCTCTTGGCTGTCTGAATCCAAGTTGTTCTACCTCTTGGATAAATGTCAAAGCAACACCTTCCAATTTTATTCACCTTTAGCAATGGTTTCTGCCTTACCTCTAGGAGCCAAGCCATGGTCCAATATCATGGAGATCTTGGAGGAGAAGGATGGAGTTGATACTGAGCTACTGGTTTATGCAATGACATTGATTAATAAGGTTGGTGTTCTTCTCTGTCTTTTTTTTTTTTTTTTTTTTTTAAGTGTGATTGGTGGTGGTAATATTAGTATTTGCGTAATGCTCCACCTTCCTGAGAATATATGACAAAAAAAGACCTGTCACTCAGAGGCTGAAGCAGAACTGCAATTTTGCTTGATGTTGTGCACAAGCATATCGTGATATGATTCCTCTCCTAAAGCTGGCAACAGAGCATAAAACAAAACCTGGCTAAACGAAGGCTAGCGCAACAACTTGTCCAAGGAAGGAAAGCAGGCAGTTACTGGTGAAAAGATCACATGTTCACAAAGACTTGCATTGTGCATAGACAAGACTTGTGTTTTGCATAGACCTACAGCTTCAGCTCATTTCTTTTCACTGTGTACCAAATATGATGAATTTAACAGATCTGAGTGCTAGTAAGAACGTTTCTGCATGAAAGTAGAGGGAAAATGTGTTGGGGTATTTTTTGCTGCTTTCTTTATAGTTTTTGGAAACCTTTATTGAAAGTGGTTGTTTCACAGTAAAAGGAAACATTGTTTAAAGTACTGGCACACACTAAGATGAGGGAGGTGAAAGGCCTGTAAAAGTTGAAGTTTGTTAACCTGAAGTCCTGAATAATTAGTATATAGTCCTCAAATTCTAAACAAATCTTTAGATGGACTCAGTTTAAAAGTGGATCTTTTAAAGAATACAAGAAGTTAGGATATTGCTAGAAAATCAGTATAACTTTTTGTTTTATTTATTTTGTTTAACTCGGACCTTTTAATAGGTCAGAATATTACAGGATATTATTATTATTCACTACGCTCTGTTAAAGATACTGAGTTTGTCAGTAGACACCATGCATCAGCATACCAGCCTACTCTACATGGCTTTGAGGGAGTCTTTTGTTTTCTTTTTTATTCAATAAAATACTTTGTTAATGGTTTTATTGCCCAGTAAAGATGTCTAAGAGGACATCTCCTGCTCCAGAATCATCACTGACATCATGGCACTTTCATTTAGGGCTGCCTTTGCTCTCTGTTTCATGCTTTTGGCTGTAAATAGTGTTAAATTTGAGTCAGCTCTAAACTTGTTTTTTAACATTTGCATTTTGTGCCTCATTTTATATACTGGATCATCTTTCTACAAGAATTGTCTTAATTGTTCTTACCAGTATCATTGCCTGGTGACTGATTTTTTAAAATATTTTGCTCTGTATTGCCTCTGTCATCCTAGAATTGATTCTTTTAGTTTGCTTTTTTTTCCCACTACATTTAAAACTATTTTAGGAGGACATAGTTCTTTAAAAACAAACAAAAGAAAAGCATCTCACAATCAAATGAGCAAAGCCATTACAAAGATCAAGGACAGGAATTCCACAATGCCATGCTTATAATTATGATCTGGCATATGGACAGCTTCATGATGCCTTTAATGGGATTTTATTTCGTAATTATAGAGAAAACAGCAAGCAACATATCACAGTTGTAATTTTTTTCCCCACAGAGAAGACAAAGAAGGCTCAGATGGTTTCCACTTCTTAAGGCGAGGAATTGTCAGACTTTTTTCAGTGCAGACAAAATGTTCATGAGGAATTTGCTTTAAGGAAACATAATCCTGCTGCCTTCTCTTTCTCCAAGGACAGATTTACAGACTACTGTTGAATACAAAACCCCCTCAACAGCCATTGCTGCAGTACTTTTATCATCTCAATCTTCTCTGCTGATGCTTAGTGAAGATTGAAGTTATTCATGTTAGCCAGTGTCATTAATCTATTCTTATTTTTTGTGTTTTTAGGCATTAATGAATCTCTTAAATGAGACTAGTCTCAATACAGATACCTCTGGTTTTTATAGTTCCAGTGTAACCCTTTCTATCTCCCTTTAGTTCCTGCGGTCTGTTAGCTCTTATTCTAATCCCTACTTTCTTCATTTTAACAACTAGTTTCCCATGTAGCACTTCCACAGAAGTTTTAGTGTGGTTCAGATAGATTAAACCTTTTGTTTTCTTTATAAAAATCAAACTAGTCATCAAGTATAAAAAGAAAATTCCATGTTGTATTTAATTCATTTGACCATTTACTTCTATAATTTAATTATTGATTTTTTTTTTCAAATTTGCTATAAAGCTCTTTATAACTGAGATTATGCTGATAGCTTTACTTACAGCTGTTTGATTACTGTTGTTCTTTTCACCTACATGTTAGGCATAGCAGAGAAAAAATGCAATACAAATTACTATGCTGAAATCGTTTAAAAATAGGATAGAATTATTACTAAATGTGTCAAAAGCGGTACTTTTTAATATATACAGATAGCACTTACTGTATTTTTTTCAGACAGTGTAAGACTAGCATTTTAGCACCAGCTTCTAGGCCACTGTTAATTAGGAGGAATGCAGGGCACTCCCCAGTGGTCCTTTAGCTTTAACTGAAGATGTGCTGTTTCAGGCCAGTGTGGTGTTAATATGGGAGCTGGCCCCACATTTTTCTGTGACCTCTCCTCAGTGCCTCAGAACTGCCACATTGGAACAAGGATCATTTTAGATCCCGTGTCCTGTGCCTGATAGGACCCAGCACCAGATGTTTCAGAAGATGTGGTAGTTCCCAGGAAAAGATGCACACGAGAGATGCTTCTTCCTGTCCAAGAGTAATTGTCTAATATCCTTGCACATGCTTGTTTAGTGTGTAATGCATTTCATCATATCATGTAAAATTTAGATAGATAGCATCGCTATTTAGTGTGTGGGCCTTCTAGCAGAGCTCAATCTGTCAGATGTTTAGTAACCAGGGTAGCTTTCTTCTATGACTTGGACCTCTACACATGAACTCAGCATAATTAGCTGGACTATCTGTGGTCTGCATCATTGCTTTAAGCTATTAGTGTTTTGTTTATGACAAAAGATACCATACTTATTAATTTTACTGCCTAGTGCCACCCAGGACAGCACTTTTTAAAAATGGTGAAGAGGGAGAGCCTTTCAGTTTACAGCTAGGCATAGTCTAGGGCTAATTTAAGTCTAGTTTCAAAATATTGAATATTGAAAAGAATGTTATGCTATTAGCAGTTGTTTATGCTAATAGGCTTGATCATCTAGGCAAGCATTTGATGGTTTTATTCTTATAGAACTTCCCTCAGGTCCACTCCTCCCCTGCCCCTGCTGCCTCACCACAAGTTTTTTTGCCTTTCTTTTCATTCAGATTGTTACTGTTTGTTTTAGGTAAAATCTGTTAGATTTTGGTCAAAATGTGATTAAAAAGATACATTAATCCCATAACTTTTAGGCCTGAGTTTTGGTTCTAATTTAGCTCACCATTGCAAAAAGCGATGCTCACAACAGAACTCACAGCTGAGCAGTCATTCCCATAAAAACTTGAGAGCAACTTGTAAAATAACAAAACAAACAAAAATCCTATAAGAGTCTCTCCTTTAATTCAAAGATGTTCTTGGAAACTGCAAATGGACAGAAGTGAAGGAATAAACCTTGGCACTCAGAATCATGTTTTCTTTGCATTCTCAAGCGTTTGAGATTTGAAATCTCACTACTGGTCTCACTAGTGGTACCACAACATAAAATCCAACAAGTAAACCATAGTGTCTGGTTTAAACATGCTTCTCCCACAAAATGAAAGTTAATTCTCTAACTATTTTTTTCAGTCTTTAGGACAGAAGGAAATACTTGGGACTTATATGAGTATTTTGATAATGGAGTATCATTTTGATCTCAAACAATAACTTGAGGAAGGTAGAAAAGACCTTGCAAGGACTTGCCAAATTTATGCTCCCAGTGCTCTGCTGATCATGACCATTTTCTGCTTGATGAAGCAGTGATGAAAATGGGGGCACACTCCTGTTTTCTGATACAACAAGCCAGAATTACTTACGCAAGCACTTCATGTCCTTGTATTTAATTACTGCGAAGAGCTTCCTCCCAAGTCAGACTGAACTGACCTAATTGTGGCACCAATAATGCCCTTTTCATCCAGCTTTGTCATGGTGGAAATTGAATTTTATATGCATTAGTCTCTGAAAATGGATCTGTGAGTTTAATGACAAACCATGCAAAGGAAAAATATTTGATTACTATAACTGAGAGTTTATTTGCCCAGTTCTACCAACCAGCATGCAATGAAAATGGGATTTCCATTGCTGCATGATTAAAAATTATGTTCACCAATAAAAAGCCCTAGCAAAAACAGAACTGCCAGTTAATGCTACTTTGTGCTGTTGCTTTGCCCTGACTACAGCCTTTCTGACTTCAAATAAGAGAAAGGGTATGCTCAACGGCATGGTTGTTTGTCTACCCTTAGACATGTGAGACATCACATTTTTTTCTGTTTGAAGACACTCAGGTCAGAATAGTTGTTGTTGGATTTCTAGTCAGTGCCAGGGTGCCAGTTTAGGAAAGAACAAAGCAGACATGATATCTATTTTTAGCACTTTTGTGGAATAGTTGCTCTGTGTTCAGTAGTTTTTAACCATATGCTTACATAGTGTCCTGGAGAGATGTGACTTTAATTAAGATTAAAGCCTGAAATCACAACTCTAACATTTCATTTATGGGGTTGCTGAGCATTCTTGTTACAACGTTCCCTGACTGAACCTTGCTAGTTTGGACTATAGTTTGGGAGTGACTGAAGAAGATACTGCAGGTTTGTATTTCATTTTAAAATAATAATAGTAATAATAAACAAAACAACAACAAAAACATGGTGATGCATGTTTTTCCAGTGCTTAATTTCACTGGAAAGAGATGCTTAAACCATGCATGGCATTTCATTTATCTGTTCCCATCACTTAACTGTTCACAGAAGTCAGATCAATCCTTCTGAAAGCTTAATCTGTGTGGGGAAGTAGTCCCCAAGAGCTGTTATGTTCCGTGTTGTGTTGCTCTGAGCAACTTTAGAAATACTGTGCTTCAAAACCCAGTACTCTGGTAGCATAATTCATCCAGTCTCATTCAGAAAGGTGATGGGAATCTCTTTGAGGAGAGCTTCGCTCTTGCAAGTGCTCTCTCTCCTTCTTGCTCTTTCTCTCCTCTGTTGGGAATAAGTAGCATCTGCTGGACAACTGCGTAGTTAAAATTAGGAGAGAGGAGCTTACCTCAGAATGGGTGTGTCCTTGGTGAGCTAACCCAGAATAATTGCTGAGCTTCAAGTGTGCACTGCCCCTTAGTTTGCAGCAGTGGCTCTGTGCAAACTGATCTTTGCAATGAAACACGTGCTAGTCTCCAAGTAGTTTGCCCTGTACATTCAGTAGTTTTGGCTTAACATTAGTGCAGAGCAGAATTAGACTCAAATTCCTGAATCATCCAAAGGAATGGCATAAATTCAGTACAAGCTGAATAGAAAACATCAATATAGTGGTGGCTCTGTTAGCTTTGAAAATGCACAAAGCTGTCCAGTGCCGATGTACTCTGCATTGCAGTTGTGGTAGTGAGTTTATTCCATCCCCATTTCTACTCCAATGTAGTGTATTTGAAGTACATGTTAAGACTACAGAAGAGCATCTTCTGTTTATTCTGGGATTCTGAATTCATCAAAAAATTGGAAACTGGACTATGGTAGGAAAAGTATTTTCTCTCAAACATAGACCAGGTACTCTATGTTGCAGAAGTTCATGTTAGATAACTTTTATTGATTGGTGTTAGTTACTTTCTAGTGTGCAAAAACTCTTCTTTAGTGTTGGTAAGAACTTACCCCATAGCTAGAGACTTGTAACTCTTCTGATATTTTGCTGGAGTCAAGAAGTTGTCATATCTTTAATAAGACATTTTAGGCTGAAAAGGAGGAAAAGAGACAATATCTGTAACACAGAACAACTTGTGCATTAGAATAACCTCTGCTGCAGGTGTGGAGGACAGTAGGCACATGGCGCAGGACATTTCCTGCTGTCCTCACATCACACAGCTGTGCATTGCACTTCTTTTTCTTCAGGCCTAAGTTACAGGAATCAGTTGGAAATCAGCTGCGCTGTTCTGAGCTAAACTGTTTTTTCTCTCGTTGCTTTTATCTCTGTGTTTGATGCTTTAACATTCCCTATTCTTTAAATCTGTAGTTGAGTGAAGCCAGGAAGAATCCAAATGTTTATTTTAATGACACACGTTTTCCATACTTTTTTGTATGAAATAATAACATTGATTTGTTTTGCCAATTATTCGAGTTTATACACAGTGCACAGAGTTGTTTGTTAAAGCTGTGCCACTTGTTTTTTATTTTCCTCATTTTCCAGCGGTGTCTCTAATTCCACATCATGGCTTGTGCTTTATTGAAATCATGCACAGCACCACTTGCCACGTGCTTTTAAAAGCCTTTGTTTAATTCTTCTCAAAACAAACAGATTTAAATGTTTTTCCTTTTGATTCTTAGACGCTGTCGGGGTTGCCAGATCAAGACTCTTTCTACGACGTGGTGGACTGTCTGGAAGAGTTAGGCATTGAAGCTATTTCACAGAGACATTTGAACAAGAAAGGAACAGACTTGGACTTAGTTGAGCAGTTTAACATTTATGAGGTAACATAACATGCCCTGTTCTATGCATCTTACAGCTTGTGCAAACTTCAAAGCTGAGAGGAGAGGGGAATGTAACCTAGGTGAAATTTGGTTATCTATTTTATTTTAAAAGAAAAACATCTGGTTGCTAGATGTATTATTCACATTCATGTATGTGACCTGCTACAGTACCTGACTGCACTTAATACAAATGCATTTCATTCACCTGGGGCATCCTTCAAGGCAAAAAAGAACATTTACATCTTTAGAAGCAGTTCTGCCTGCAATTAAAACTTTCTCAGACTGCTAGTTACACATACAGAATTAAGTTCAAATTTTTGCCATATGCAAAAGTGTTCAGCTCATGAAGGGGTTCAGTTTAGATCAGCTTCACATATACTGCTCACTCTACAGCTGAATACCCAACACATCCTTGTTTACGAGTTTACACTGGACCAGTTCCTATGTGCTTTGCAGCAATGGAGTAATAAATGACTCCAAGTTCACTACATAGGTATAAAATAACCACTTCTGGAATATTTATATGGAAAGATAGGATATCCAGTTTCTTAATAATTAGACCCCTTCTCAGACTTCGTGAAGTGTTGGATGGGAAAGTTTAGGCTGAAGTTTATATAATGTAAATGTGAATTCATGTTCTGGTGTGATGAACTGAAATGACTTTCTCTCTGTTTAAGTCCAACAAAGAATTCAGTTGATGTGATTCTCCATTTTCTTCATCTCCTCTATACCCATGTCACTTCATAAACCTGAGTAACTTCAGTAGACTTACTCCTTACATGAAAGAATTTACAGGAAGAGTCAAGCCAAAATAAGAACCTGGTAATGACAGAGGACTCCATGTTCCCTTTTATTTTTACTGTCAGCTCATAACATCCTTTTCTGAAAATGATCATTAAACTTAAAAGATGTTATTTTGCTCCCACTGTGCAAAGGGCTAATAGCAAAATTATCAGATTGCTTAATGGCTTTTTCTTGATAACCAGGCTAAATTTAGATGTAACAGTGTAAATTCCTCCTTTTTTGTTTCTGCCAATGTTGTTCTTTATCTAAATACCTCCTTTTTTCCTATCTTAAATAGATTTTTACCCTTTAGGCAGTAATATCCCATATCTTCCTGTCTCATTCTGCTCATGTCCCTTCACAGAAGAATCATCAGAATAAGAGGACTAGTCAAAAGAAAAGAAAGTTTATCAACTCTTCTGCTTACCCACGTAGTCATTTACTGTAACTGTCTCTTTTTGAATGGATCTTTCCCAAATAATAATGTTTTTCTTTATTATTATTTCTGTGTTTTATATGAGGTCCAACAGTATTTTCTGCCCAATAACCTCGTTGTTTTTTCCTGAAAAAATCTTTGTCCTGTACCTTAAGGTTGACTGGTGTTTTTTTGTTGTTTGTTTGAGCTGTGTTACGTTGGCAGTCGTTCTACTCCTGTGCAATTTATGGCTAATGAGCTCCCAACCTAGGTCACAAGTTTCTGTCAAATGTCATAATAATCATCCAATTCTCAACATGCTTTTCTTTTTGTATTATTCCTATGCTTCTCTGAACTGGCAGAATACTGAAAATACTGAATTTCCATTGAAGGGCATATGTGAAAGCAGTTAGGCTTACCTAAAAACTAGGTGGCTCAGAGAAGATGAGTGATCTCTGTGTTTTTTTTTTTTTTTTTTTTAATTCTACTGTTTTGCTAGTTCATAGAAATAAACTTGTTTTGTTTCCTTTGTTTACTTTGCAGAGAGATCTGTAATAACAGAGATATTAAGTGGGATTCAGTTATGTATACAACTGTTGATCTCTTTCTTGGCTGAGAAGAAATTATGGCACTGCTCTAACATAAGTTTTCAAGTAATAGACCTTAATTTCCACTTGTGTTCCCAAATCTGTTTTTGACTACATGTTGAGTTTTTAGTCATGCAACATGAGTTTTTTTTCTATTGTTTTCAGTACAGTGGAGACTTCAGAATTCCATTATTAGAGCTGCTACATTGAGCTAATGAATAGTTGGCAACTTAGATGGCTGGTTACAGAAATGGTGACTTCTAGTCATTGTGTTGTGACTAGTTATCTTTTAAAGCCTAACTGTAAAGACCCGTGATCTCTAAAGGAACCACATAAAAAGTCTTGCCACTCTTTCCTTGTTAGACGACACTGAGGCATGAGGATGGAGATGAGACTGCTGACCCTCCTCCCAGTGGGCGCAAGGACAGAAGAAGGGCCAGTCTCGGCACTAATGAGCGAAGGGGACTGGAGCGCCGACGGAGCCGGAGACACTCAGTACAGAATGTCAAAAGCACTTTATCAGCCCCTGCAAGTCCATGCAGTCAATCAAATGCCACCTACATGCTAGGCCATGGACAGCGCATTGAAGATCTCAGTGAGAAGTAAGTGGACAAGCTAAGGAATGCTCCTTCCTTTTCCTCCATTTCTTTCCATTATATTCAGTGCACTTTACTAATCTGCCAGTTGTTTTTCTTTCCTTTTCTTCCTCTTTCTGATGCATTAAAAAAAAAAAAAAGAAAAAAGAAGGTTGAAAGAAATCTCTGTAGATTACTTGATTTATCTATGTATCTAGATTCTTTGGCACTATCTACCTCAAGGAAATGAACCCAAACCACATGAGGTACAGCATTCAGTGTGGGAGCTAACCAAGGTTAATTTCATCTAGTGACAGATTTTCTATTTAAAATATCAACATAATAGAAGACTGTAACATGACTATAGTCACATTAGTATGATTTATTTGTCCTGTATATGTTACAGTTAATTCCTTTCTCTTTTTTCCTTTTTGTCTATGGAATTATCATTCCAGAATAAATATTTTCCTTTGAGGTTACACTCTAGTAGTGAACGTATCTGATGTTTTATAATTAATGAAAGAGAGACAGTAATGACTAGTTGAGGAGCCGTCTGAAACACTACATTGCCAATACCATTACAGTTCTCTTGGACTATGCATGATTAGAAAAAAATGGGAGATGCAGATCCTCAGCATGTCTGAATACCACACAAGAGGGCTGGAATTAATTTTGCCCAAGTTAAATGTCTGATCATCTTGCCTCCCTTTGAAGTCAGTGGAGAGTGGAAGGCACTTCTAGACCTTCAGTTATATAATGTATTCTACATGCCTGAAATTTCATCTAGGATGAATCATGCTCTGAAACTGACTCTTTGTCTCTGTTGACCATAAAGGGAGTCTGGCTGATTAGCTCAGATATAGATATGTGTGCTGCAGGTACCTAAAGCTGACCAGATGTCTGTCATCCAGTGGCTTTGAGGTGCAATTTGCAAAACCAAAACATGCTCTATGAAGAACATTTCTTGTGTTAATCGTAATATTTTGGAAGTTTTTTGAGTATTTCTGCTGGATAGCACTGGATGTAAACTAAAAGCCTTAAAATCCCGTATTTTAATGTAAAGCAGCCCATCTTGCAAACGAGATCCAATTGACTAAAGTTGAATGGCTTCAAGCAATATGAAAATATAACTCTGGATAATTTTAAATAATAGATGAGTGTTGTATATGACATAAAGACTTATTTTTGCATTTGGCAACACATTCATGCTTGTTTTCCATCACTTTCTATTGGCCGGGTCTGTAGTGAGCTGGCGGCCAAGTGCCCCATGGTCTTGCAGGCTGGTGACGAGGATGACAGTGCATTTGAGGCTGAGTTTGAGGCGGCTTCGGTGTGAGTACAGCTGGGGCTTCAGCTGCTCTGCATGCAGTGCCTCTTGCATGGTTTTGGCCTCCTTTTCATGACATACTAATGGGACTGGGAGTCTGTCTCGATGGATATGCAGCAAACATCATTGGCGTGTTGAAGTGATGAATTTGGATTAGAAATGGGGAATGCTTCAGCGACACAAACATTGTTGATTCTATGGTTGCAAATAAATACTTGAGTTATGAGGGATACTTTCCCCAGTACATTTTCTCATCATTAAAGTTTGCTTATTAGATTTATTTTGCAGCAATTCTTTGGTAATTTTTAATAAATTTATTTCAGCTGATTTTTTGTAGTGGGGTCATGGAAATATGGCAGATGATCTTTGCAAGTTCTTTGAAATATCTTTTTCACTAACATATCATAATTTCAGCTAGTATTATTCTTTGGAAAAAGATAGGCAGTCCTACTCTGTATCTCCCTTGAGGCTGACATAATGTGAAGCAGAATTCATAATTTTAGAATTACTAGAAGAATTAAAAGAAATTTAGTAATTTTAATTTCATATTGCAGTTGTATTTGGAATCTCTTCTAGGAAAGTAATTAAATTCTCATTTTTTTAATGTTCAAGTGCATTGTTTTACAACTACATCTGAAACCTCAGTTTTATTCATCTGCCTCTTTAAGAAGGAGACACTGATTATGAATGTATGTAAGGTAGGGATGTTTAAGGAGAGTGCTAGGTAAATAAAAAACTTTCCTTTGCAGTAACTAACAATGGGAAGTATTATTTGTACCTAGCAAAGCAATGTGATCGGTAAGAACCAGAAAATACGTATTGATGCACAAAGATGCAGATTTTACGCTGAATCAAATTTTCCATATTGTTGTAACAGGAGGCTAGTCTCCTATTCACAATGACTCTTCTGGAGGTCCAGCTCAGTTGCTAATAAATGAACAGTTTAGGAGAAATTATTCTGATTCTGTCGTCACAATTTTTAGTCACATCATCAAGCCAAACCTATAATTCTGGTAGGAAGAGGAACGAGTTACCAAATCCCAGTCACTCTCTCAACTTTCAGTGAAATAGTGCAGGTGAATAAAGTAGTTGCACCACACTTCATATTTAAACTGGGAGCAAAAACAACTAAGAGGAAAACTTTGTAGCTTCTATTAATTCAAATTTAAACACAGGACAGTAGCAATGTCAAATGATTCCTGAGCAGGGAGGTTGGACTACATGGACTCTAAACGTCCATTCCAACCCCAACCGTTCTGTGTTTCTGTGATTCATGTGATGTTGATGCACAGTTCTAAAGTTTGAATTAACCTGAAAAAACGCCTTATCGCTACTTTGTTTTACTACTGGAATTATTAAGTGTACAAATTAGAGACCATGATCACTGCTGCAATATTTTTTGATTAAAAGGATCTTAATACAGTGTTGTAAGTTTAGGCCTTATTGCAATTTAGAATGAAATTTTATAATTCTATTTTTAAAAGTATGTTAAAAATATGATGCAGGTATCATCTGCTTTTGTCAAATTACATGCTTGCGTGAGCTTCTGCTCTGCTTCTCTCGTTACTGTTGTAGTGAGGATTGTGCAAAAATGGATCAAAGGTAATTATCATGTCCATAAACTGCAAGTTTCTTTTGTTCATCCAAGACAAGCAGATGTCTTTCACTATTGACTTTCTTTTGAGTCATAACTCTAGTCCTTTCCAAGGAAGGCACAAAGTCTGCAAGACTGCAGTAAGTTTTTTCTGTGCTGTATTTAGTTGAAAAATACACTGAACAAAGAGGCACAAGTCTCTTCAATTGGAGGCTTCTTTGCTACATGTTCTTTACCATTAGGAAACATTTAACAATATTCATACTAATTTTACTGTGCTGCTCCTTCTGGTATCTCTCTGCTTTGTGTGTGGTGGCAAATTTCTGTCCTGTTTTACAGTGGATTAATGCCTTTAAGTTCAGTGGAATTACTTCTGATGGATGTGATTAGCAATTAAAATAACATTCTTACGCTGTGCTGAATTTTCTTCTAGGCAAGATTATTGGTTATTTTTGGACTTTGCTACCAAAATCGGTGGAAGGTTCAAGTTCTTCCTCAGCATTCTCCTTCCCACAGTGTTCATGTTTCTTTTCTGACTTCGTTAGTTGGTTTGGCAGTTGCTTTGCTTTTGTTTACCACATCAAACAGGTTGTCCACAGTCATCTGCTTTGTGTCAGCCGATAAGTCTTCCAAAAAGAGAAAAATCCTTGATGCTGGTAAAGCAAAAAAAAAGAGAGACAATATTGGCCAAATTCTGTTCTGTCTCACAATGCTCTATATCCAGAAAAGTTCTCTGAAGTCCATGGAGTTTCTCTGATTTACGCCAGGCTAATTGAGAGCAGACTTTAGATTTTAAGCTGGGAAAAGTTGACCATAAATGCTATGGGCAACTAAAAGGAAAACTTACAGGCCTTTTTCATCCATTTGGCAACCTTCCTTCAAAGTAAATGTATTGCTTTGCTGCCTGTGGTTCAAAACAAATAAAGACCAAAATCTGCTTTGTGTTAAAATAGTTTTCATGGAGAGTGAAGCCCAGCCTAATGTGTCTGTTACAGTACAAATAAATAAATAAATACATTGTGACTACTAAATAAGGTTAAGTTTGGTTTAAAGATAAGTAGCTGCTGCAGCATACCTTTAAATGATATCCCTTGCCTGACTACTACCAGGTTTGCTTAGCTGAATAATTTCTTTCTTTCCCATAATGGCGCTGAATACCATAAAACCTCAGGGCAACTCCAGTCCTGTGAACTTATGGCATCTTAAATGCTTTACTGTAGACACAGAATTTTCCGTGCTGGTCTAAACTTATTTTTTCAAAGCTATCTTTATTACTTCTGCACAAAGGATAGAGTCAGGGAAAAATGTGGAGTAGAACTGAAATTTCATTGATGTTTTTGTTGTATGCAGTCATTTCTGGTTATGTAGGTGTTAACAAACATATTATTGTCGTTCTTTTGGTCTTCATTATAGCTAGTTGGAGAGAAGAGAAGGCAAGGAGTTGGGAAACTCTTGATTCTGTCTTAATGGAGCAGGTGGCCCTTGCAAAGGCCGTGTGCATACACAGCAGTGAAGCAGAAACAACTACTTCACTAGCTTTTCAAGTGAATCTGTTTCCCATTTGGCTGTGTGCTTCCCTTTGATCAATATTACACCGAGAACATTCCCCTTTTCTCTCCCGTGGTGTCCTGCCAGAGTTGCGCCAGCCGGACTTAGCAAACGAACCCAGGGAAGGATCTAGTAGATTTACCTTGACAACGTTCATCACCATTTTGTGTGAAGAGGTCTGTTCAAGTTTTGTAGAGGGTTTTGCATATTAATTGTATTCATATAAAGTTCTTATAACCAGGAATAGATATGTACCTTACTTTATTTTACCAGACTGCTTTTCTTTTTTGTTTTAGGTTTTTGTTTTTACTATTTTCTCTGGCTCTAATTGGCTTTACATCATCAAAAAAGTAAAAAAATCCCACAAAATAATTTGCTAGGGTGAGTCACTATACTAGTTCATCTGGAGATAAGCAAGCCTTCAGGGAAGACACACTGTTGATGTTAATGTATTTGAAGCCTAGCATGCAGAAGAGCTAAATGACATCAAAGAGGCCTCTTAACGAGAAGTCTGCATCTTCATTCAGCAGCAGAAGTTGGATTTAGCAAGCTATCTTT